TCAGTAAAAAATAAGCAGGACAAGCCCTATTTTCTGAAATTGAGAAATATTTTCATTTTTGAGGACATAATTATATTTACAYAGCAGTAATCAAGTCTTTCATCTTTAAACTCAAAAGAACTCAAAATATTTTAAATATAAAAGGTAAAAATTACACTATTTTAAATATGTTTTTAATCTTTTAAATCAAATACATCCTATTAGAATCCTAATTGTCAGATGATATATTTCCTTTCCTAGAGAGTTACTTTTGCTCRAAGAAACATTCAGAAATTAAATACTGTCTTAATCATCTTCTACCAAGTTTCATCATAAAATGAGTTGAAGCACATACTTTTCTTGTTATTTTTTGTGATATTACTGAACATTCACTGCTTGGGACAATGAAATTGTCTCTTGAGACATATGATATTAATAAAGTAGAAATTATTAGGTTTATGCATGAGATCTGTTTGTTCCTATCATCTCTTAGAGAATCTATTATTATGTCAGAATGACCTAGGACAGGACCATTTTTGCTATATTAATACATGAAAAGTTTTTTTCATTATGAAATTTTAGTTAAAGATAATTGTAAGTGAAATTCTTTGTTGATATATTTAATAACATAGGGAGTAATCAGGATTTTAGCAGTAGTTTTTCTTATTTATTAAAACATACTAGCCAAGCGCGGTGGCATGTGACTGTAATCTCGGCAGCTCAAGAGGCTGAGACAGGAGGATCAAGTTCAAAGCCAGCCTCAGCAAAAGAGTGCTAAGCAACTCAGTGAGACCCTGTCTCTAAATCAAATACAAAATAGGGCTGGGGATGTGGCTTACTGCTTGAAAAAAAAACATACTAAATGCAAATTAGTACTTGTCATGAGCCCACAGAGGGCTATGTGTGGACTGTTATGCATAGCAGCCTCSTGTAGGGATAAGTCTGGCAATGGGAACCTCCCAAGGCACCCCTACAGGGATTGAACGCCTGATGTAGGTGAACTTCCCTCTCAGCATCCCACACAGCACCTGAGATGGGTGTGACCTGCTAAGATGTCAATCAACCTGCTGACTGCAAGACATCAAGAAGCCAAGAATTAGCCCTTGAAACCTTATCCCTGCCTTTGATGTGCCCCCTTAAATAAACCACCAGAGCTATTTTGTCTTTGACTAGTTCCAGAACCCATGTGGACTAGATCTATCAAGGGATTCCTCTTTTGTAAATATATTTCTGAGTATTTGTGTTTTATTATTCACTAATTATTTGAGATTTTAAGTTTTAGGGTGGATTAGATTCTCCATGGCAGGAAGTACCCCCCAGTGAGACTATGGCCATTGAACCCCAAAAAAGCACTTATTTTTAAAACAGTTTCAAAAGTTATTTCATGTTAGAAATAAATAACACTAAGCTTGAATTTATTTATATATGTATCATTTTCCTGAAAATGCAACTCATAAATAAAACCAAATTATTAATCCATATGCTTATACATAATTTCTTAAATTATGTTCCAGAGAACACTAATTCCTCAGAATATTCACCATCATTCTCAGTACTGCACAAAATAAAAATAAAAATAAGAAGGAATATTCACCATCATTTTACACATATTAAGATGCATTATGTTGAGCTGGGCATAATGTATATGCCTGTAATCCCAGGTAGTTGGGAGGCTGAGGCAGGAAGATCTCAGGTTTAAGGTCAGCCTGAGAAGTTTAGGGAGACTCTGTCTCAAAATAAAACTTAAAAAGGGCTATGGGTGTATAGTGGTAGAGTGCTTGCTTGACTAGCGTATGTGAGACCCTGAGTTTAATTCCCAGTACCCGTCTCTCTCCCAAAATTAAAAAGATGTAGTACTTTGGTAAGTGAGTTTAAGAAACACTAGGTTAACCTCCGAAGCATCTCAGAGCCTTCAGTATATTAAAATACAATGTGAGTCTCCAAAAGGAAGTATACAATATGGTGCATTACCTACACAACATTTATTGAACGTTCTTGAGCATGGAGCAGAACCATGGAGCCGTATGGAAAAGCAGAGTTACTAGGAACACTATTTGGAAAGTATATAAGAAAAACAAGATCATTCAGCCCAACGCCCATTATTGTGGAACTAACCAAGCTAAAATATATTGTTACAAAATAGCTCCCTCCCTTCACACCCTACCATATCCCACAAAAATTAGCTTCTGTGTAATCTGATTTTGCAGAATCAATGACAAAGACATTCAACATGACTGAATCACTGGTTTTTCAGGGAGTAGAAATGTCCTCAGTTCTCGAAAATTGATTTTTTTATGTTTATGTTTGAAAAATTTGGATAACATCAATTTGTGAAAAATTTCATATGACGTTGGTAGATTGTAAAAGCCTTTAAAAAGGCATAAAGGACACATCTTAAATTGGTAAGCGCTGAGAAATCTTTACTTTTAATCATCAAACATCAAAAAACTTAGGGGCCAGAAAAAAATCAATACTTAAAAGTAGGTTTTTATCTACCCAGAGTATGAAAAGATTTAAACTGAATACACAGTTAAGAATCCCATTTTATTGTTATCTATCTCTTGATGTAGAATACACTGATGAATTTTTAAATTCAGTAGACTATCAAGTTTTTATTTGCTATTGATCAYATCTTAGGAATTGTTTTCAAATAAAGTCAACTAGATATATTGTTTGATTGCATGACATATAACATAGTATTGTATAATTGTATAATATTGATCATGATAAACTTCCATCTAGGAAATAAAGCTTTAATTTTAAACAAGGTGCACATTGTAATTCAACAATATTATATTGCACACATCTTTAAATATTTTATGGTAGAATATTTTCCTCTCCTTTTAAAAATCATGCTATAACATATACTGAATAATTTTGAGAACATAGTGAACTCTGCAAAAATATACATATAAGGCTATTTTTAGAAACCTAGCCAGTCATACACTATTAAATTGGTATTAACAAGGAAAACAAAGTTCCATGAATTGAATTGTTTGAATGTTTGTTCACATAAGCAGTCAACATGCCTAACTATTTTTTATTAGAAATTTTCAAAGGTGTGTATTTCCCAAATCTCTTAAATAGATAATTCTGAACATGAGGTAATCACAGTGTCGTTAGAATTCCTGCATTTGAAAGATATCTGAGTTATAAACTCTACCTGTCTATCCACACAATTTCCCCTAATACTGGACTTTTCTGTGTACCCCCTCTCCAAGTATCTCGTCTGCGGGGTGCAAGCTGGATGTTCTCCCTCCCCCAATTTGCTGCCATATTTTCTTCCAATCATCTGGAAGTGAATCAGAGGCTAGCCTTAGGCTTCTACTGCAAAGTAATATTCATGGGTTTTGTGACAGCTATTTCCTCTAAGTAGACGATTTTGTCCACTTCAAGATTTATAGCTGTGTTCAAGGCAGAGTTGGGTATGCAGAAAAAAAGATCTGGCCTTCCGGAAAGTGAAATGTTAATACATCAAATAACTTCAAATGATTAGAGGTCATTTTCATTTTGTGCAGTCCTCCCATGTCCAGTACGTTTATTTGCAAAACTTCCTGTTAAAGATTGCCAGGAAGCTCAGGGTCAGATTTCACACTAATTCATAGCAACTCTTTATTCACATATTTATTTACTTCCTATCCGGTTCAGTAAAGGTTTTGTGATCATTAAGCCTTTACACTTATCATATCTGAATCCTCCTCTTACTTTGAAATGCATTTCAACTTCTCTTTTTATATAACCTTGAGATATTGGCTCTTTCAGTAAGTCAGGCCAAAAACAGTTTGAAAACACTCTCAGACTAGAGATTTCACATACATTATAGTTTTTAATCCTCACAAAAGCTGTTAAAGTAGGTATTACTGCTCCTCATCTTACAAGAGAGTTAACTGAAATCCAAAAAGGTTAAATAAAATCCCAAAGTCTTCTGTTCAGAAGTGTGGAACAAGAATTTTCACCCAGACCTTTCTGATTCAAAATCCCTGGTTAGTTCTATAATACTTGACCTTTCAATATAGTCAAAAAGCAAAATAGTCCGTGGCCATTACATATTTGGACAATCACCTAGAGCAGAGGTCCACAGTTGATATTCAAAATCATGACCTGAATCCTTTAAGAAAATGTTATGTTTTATCCAAAATATTTCTTTAAAATCATAAAATTTTAATATATTTTAGGACTTTTTTGCCCCATTGGATTTTCTTTTCATTTTTCAAATTTTAATATCATTAATAGTGCATAAACCTCAACTTCAGACATCCAAAACAGTACATTCCCACGAGTTCAGTTTTATTATAGTTGATATTGTTTTACTTTTTGTTACTTCAATGCTATTCCAATTAGTCATACCTGTTACAATGTTAATTCTGTAGCCACAGCAAATTTACAAACATAATTAGCCAGCTACATCCGTTAGATGAACAGTGGGCAGCACATTTTAACTCAAGGGTATGGTGTACATAGTGTTTAGCAAATCTGAGTGGCAAGTATTGTTCATTGACAGTTCATTGCTTTGTATCAAGGTAAATTTGCTTTTACAACTTCTATAACAAAAACAAACCAAAAAGAATTTCTTAAGAGTTAGAACACTAAACTTACACTTACTCCATTAAACTAAAATATTCTCCAACATTTATATTTTACCTTGGCGCATACTCTTGGTCTCTCCACAAGAAATTGGCCCTGGAATACTTGTTAAGCTTCATATCAATAAATAAAGCAATTTTCCAGTATTGAGACAATCGCAGGAAGAGCTCAAAATTAAAGTATTTCAGTTTTTAAAATGGAAGTAAACCACATTATTTAACTAAATCAAATTTTCTCCCTTTCTACTAATAAGATTTAATATGGAAATTTGTTACATATTTTTCAGGAAAGCCATGGAACTTCCTGATTTCAAGGTTTTGATCAGCAAAATATGGACATAGAGGCTGGCTAGTACAAGTTTTCCAATCTATGACAGCTGTTCTTTACCCGGTCAATTACATTATAAACCTGTAGATGCTGAATCTCACAAATCTTACCRTTAGTTTCTCCTCTAAATTCTTGTTTAATAAGCGTCCTTTTTCATCCTTTTCAAATTCCATGTTGAAAGAGAAGAGAGAGTGAGTCAGACAGAGAAACAGAGGTTCAGATTCTGTCTAGAAAATGATTTGACTTGCTTACATGTTAGATATTGCTGGACATTCCAAGTTGTGAGAGCCTAGGACACTATCAGAAAGCCCTGGCGATAATTTCTGGTTAGCTAGTGTTTCCATTTATAGATGTTCAAACCCCATAAACAGAGCACTGAAGAGAAGTCAGGCAGCTGGCCTTAGATAATGATAAATGTCACTAAATATAAAAGCAAACTCTTCAACAGGAGAATTATCCAACAGGTTAGGTTCCCTGAACCCAGAAAGATGTACATGACAAAAAGTCATTCTCAAAGAATTCACTAATAGCTGTTGGAGCAGAATAAAATATACTGTAGAATACAGATTTAATGAGTAGGTTAAAAAGGACAAATGTGATAGTCAGAAAGCAAATAGGAATCAGCCAGTTTAGTTCTTCCAAATTCCAATTTGTATCCTGGTAGTAAAAACATGTATGCAAAAAAAAAAAAAAAAGACCAAAAGGATGACTCATTAATACTATAATGACACAACACATATATTCAAGGGGTGTTTCCAATTTCATTCCATGAGAAGTTGGTAAATGATGTTTAGAAATACCTTAAATAAAAGTGGTATTTTCCTAGCTTTTCCACTGAGAACAAAGTTATGATACAGGAGATGAAATTCATTTTTTCAATAAAACAAGGATTGTTAGAATTCGTTAGGAAATGTTTCATGTCTTAAAGAAAATTAATTGTGCAGCTGATGGTAATTAAATCTCCCTGTGTTTCGTGGCCAAACAGATATGTGAATGGCAAAAAAAAAAAAAAAAGGAATAAAAATGGCTTCCAGAACAAGCTAAGACTGATCTCAATGGTGGCTTAACCCCTCAGTTTAATGTTAACTTTCTTGTAACACCTGTTTTTTACCTTATGTCAGATTTCTTAAGTTTTTTCCTTCGTTTCTCAAGAAAACATTTTAGAAAACGTGAGACTCGCCTTAAAAGTGATTGCAGCTGATTCTCTGACACCAGCTCGCTCTGGAGCTTATTCTGCCTCATCCTGGAAGAGTTGAGGTCTTAAGAAATGACGCATCTAGTAGGAAAGAAACCTGGCCTTGCTTGGGATGATGAATTCAAAAATCTCATATTAGATTCATGAGCCAAAGGGGTTTCTACTTTGGGCTCAATTCTGAATTCCAGAAAAGGAATTATATGTGTTAGTTTTAGCCCTAACACGTTGGAAAATGAAAGTCATAAAGGTTTATTAGCATGCAAGATTGGTATGTTCAAAAGCAAGGCAATTGTTGAAAATTTATGTGAATGCAACTTCCAAAATCTCTCTAGGGGAAAAGAGAGAGATAAATTTATGCTGTAGCCAAAAAAGGAAACTCAGTTCTTGCTCAGCATACTTGCTGAATGCCTGAAGATGAAATCCAGGATCCAGTTAGGAGGAAAAGGAATGGTGTATGAGGTGCAGAGCTGATTGGGAGATTAAAGGGTGATATTGGTACAGGAGAGATGTTCAGGTACTTTTCTGAGTACCTATATGTGGGTGACCAACCTTGCACATGACTGGGTCATACTCCCCAGCTGGGTGCTGAGGCGCTAAGTCACAGAAATGTGGCAGAGCTTTCCCCACCCTCCTTGGGTTTGAGGGTCAGTGTCTCGTGCATGGGTGTGTCTTGCGACAGCCCCATAGGTGAAGCTTCGCTCACCTGTTCCTTTGTAATATAACCCCTTGCCCTGTTTAGGATAGAATCTTCCATGGAAGTGTCTTGTGTGTGTCCCCTTCTCTTACTGTGCCCTTGGGTGTGGCCTACCCAGGTGTCAGTCAACCTGCTGACAGTGGATATCATGAAGATAGACTCAGCCCCCTGAAACCTGACCCCTTGCCTCATTTGAATAGCTTCTCCTCAATAAAAGGGGTCAGCACGTGTTCTCGCTCTCTCTTCCTGCRGACCCTTAAGGTCAGAGGAGCCGTCACTGCGACCCCAAAGCAAAAGGTATTTGTGTCTCTTGTGTGGTTATTTCGTGCAGCCCAGTTAGCCCAGTTTAACTGGAGTGACCTTTTAGTCTCGAACAGAAACCTATAATGAAGGAAGATGATCTTAGTTGCAGGTAGACTTTCTAAAAATAATATGTGAAAATACAATTAAAAATATGATGCTTGGGACTAGGGTGTAGATCAGTGATAGAGTGCTTGCTTAGTGTATACAAGACCCTGGATTCAGTCACCAGAAAATCAAAAACAGACATACACACACACAAAAAAAAATATGTTTCCTAGCTTTCTGTCCTCAGCAAACTCACAATCTAGGCATGACTGGATATTAGTAGGATAATAATACTCACAGATGGCACACTTCTGGCAACTCACCATGTCCCAGATACAGCTTTAAATTTTTCTATGTTATCTTATTTAATTCTTAAAATTCTAGGAGGTATATATTATTATTTTACCCATTGTTATCGACTCAGTTTTATCACCCCAGATTCATATGTTGAAGTCTTAATCCCCTAATACTCTAGAATATGTCTGTACAGAGAGGTTCTTTAAAGAGGTAATCAAGGATAAACCAGATCATTAGGATGAGCCTGAATCCAATAAGAACACTATTTTTAGAAAGTGAGGAGATTGGAAGGCAAGGCACATAGCCACCCTACTTTTAGCTCCTCTTAACATAATTTTGTCACAGGTATAACACAGTGAGTGGGTCAACTTTACCAGCACTGTATGGCAAATACTATCTATTCTACCTATTTCAGAGATATGCTTAAATATATTTTCATATGATTTAAGGACAGGTATTTTTCACAGGAAAAATTATGTCCATGCACAGGCCGACTCTCCTCTACTTGTTGGTCAAACAGAAAAAAAAGGTTGAGCCACACTGACCTCCTGATCAGTCACCACAGACAGGCTCCTCTCTTGGGGACTTTCTTCCTGGTGTACACTCCCACAAGGTAGGCTCATGACTCCCTTCTCACCCAGTCTTCACCAATGACTCCATCTAATACAGCAAACCTGTCCCTCTCCATCCGTTCATCTGCTCTTTCCTTCTTCAGAGCTGTGTCACCTTTAGCATTAAAGGATTTCACATTATATTTTAATTCTACCCATATCTAATTATTTGTAGTTTGTCTGCTGGAGTTCAAACACTTAAGTGTGCTTTTTCATCATTTTATATAAGCACTTACAACATAGTAAAGGATAAATAAATATGTATGGAGGAAAAAAGGCAGGAAGAAAAGGATGAGAAGAAAAAAAGGAAGGAAGGAAATGTGTCCAATGGATGAGACTTAAAACATTTAATACATGATTATTTATGAGGACTTTTGGTTGGTATTAAATGCATATTTATCTAACACAAACCATGCTATCAATGAATGCCATATTGATTGTTCAAGATATCCATCTTACTCAAACAACTATTAGAGTGAAAGAGAAATAAATGAAGTTGGGAAGCTTGGAGTATTTGGATTCATTTTCAAACTGCCACTTTCTAATTGGGTTACTTTGAGCAAATCAYTTAATTCTCAACATTTCAGTTTCCTTTCCCTTAAATGAAGGGATTATACCAACCTCATAGTGTTATTACAAAAACTAACTGTGGTAAAGTACACAAATAACTTAATACAGTATCTTTTTTTAAAAAAAAAAGTTTACTTTAGGCAATAGTACCAAAATCCTAACATATGTGGCATAAAAATTAACCAAAAAAAATTTTTTAAAGTCATTTGACTGATAAATAAGTTGTATGGAGCTATATACAACAAATCCCATAATTATGTAAAACTATGATACATTAATAAAAATGTAGAACCATAAGAGATAAATGACTCAATTAGAAAACAGGCAAAGGATTGTGACAGATATTTCTCCAAAGGAGAAGAAATGGCTAACAAGGATTTTAAAAATGTTCAACATCATAGTGTTTAGGGAACACAACTCAAAACCATGAGATAATACTTCACACCCATTAGGATGGCTGAAATTAAAAAGAATAGACAATAACAAACACTGGCAAGAATAAGGAAAAATGGAACCCCTATACATCACTGGTGAGAACTGTAAATGAGAACAGTAACTGTGAAAGACAGGGCAGTAAAAGTTATATAAGGAATTACCACATAACCCAGCAATTGGTATGTACAGACAAGAAGCAAAAAAATGTTTCTACGCAAAAATTTCTATGCAAATGTACATGACCCAAGTATTCATAGTCAAAAAGTAGAAACAACAGAAATGTCTATAACACCTGAATTGTTAAACAGGTGCGGTATGTCCATATAGGAAAATATTATTCAGTAATAAAAAAGAATCAAGTACTATACCTGCAACAACATGGACCAACCTTGAAAATSTAGCAAGTGACAGAAGTCAGTCACAAAAAGCCACATTACATGATTCATTTATTCAGAAYGTGCAAACTTATAAAAACATAAAGATAATGTATGCTTTTCAGGGATTGGGGAGGAAACAGAATGCAAGCAGTTGCTAACAAGCAAAGCATCTCCCTTTGGGGTAATTGAAAACATTCTGAAATTAGATATTGATGATTGCACGATTCTGTGAATGTACTATAAATTAGTGAATTCTATGTAAACCTGAAAATGGTGAGTTTTGTGGTATATGAATTACATCTCAATAAACCTATTATTTTAAAAAATAGCAGGAATATCCATAATTCCTTTTTAAGCTGGAAATTTATTATTTTGTCCCGGAATATAATGTGCACAATAGGTACCTCCAAACAGGAAATTAAAATCTATGCTTCAGTAGGCAAGCAAGCACTCCACTCCAAAGTGAAAAAAAAAGACCCTCAGTAAATGATATTCACTTTAAGATACTGCAACCTCATTTTGTTTCTTTGTGTCACCACCATATGTTTAGGTAGTGGTTTTGTGCCCATATTCAAAATGCGGAGAAAAGTGGAGTTTATGGCTGTTAAAACAGCTTTCTCATTTACTGGGTCATTTTAATAGTGATTTTCCCATTCTTGCCATTTAAAAAATTTTCATCTCCAAAACAAAAGCACAAATAAAAGCTCTCCCGCTGAAACCTCACAAGACAGACAAGGTATGGACAATACATGAAAAACAAATGCTATTTCTTTCTTT